CATATTCCAGACATTTACAAAATGCTAAATTAATCCCTAGTGAGTTCCTCACATTCTTATAAACACCTCATTTACATTTAGATGCCATTAACATTCATTTCATCACTGAAGAAGGTTATAGTATTTTAGCCGAAACGTCTATTATAAGATTTTTAAGTCAGTGACAACAACTTTTAAGATTTTAGTACTATGCCTGACTACAACTACAGGTTAAACTATACTTGTTTCGTTTCACAAACGTATTCTCACTCCACTTCTAAAAACTTAATAAAAGAGCACACATGCGAGCAATGGTTTGGTTAAGTTGCATTCACCTTTTTTGCAGAGTTAATTAACCCACTGATTCCTGTGCCACCAGTAACCACCCTTGACAAGCACTGACCTTCCTTCCACTTCTAACATCATCTCCTTTGACCAAAATTGGCATCACTTACACTCAATTCTCCAGAATGAAAAGATATTTCCAATGATGCCCAGTTCAGAGTGATTGGGTCAATCGAGCGTGAAATATGCTCGAAAATGCTTAGAAATTTTGAGTGAAAAACTCTGGGAAAATTTCCCTTATCTACACTTGGCTACTCCATGGTAGGAATTTCCTGTCTCGATGATGCTTTATCAGAAGTAAGCCCAGTAGAAGTTCGACAACCGCAGCAAAAGATAAGAAAAGAAGAAAAAGAAAAGGCCAGAAAACAAAAAAATACAAAAACCTTAAGATGTGGATCACTTTCTCAAAAATTTCATTTGTGTGTATGCCCAAGAAAAAATGTTATAAAACGTGATGCTAGTGGAGAGAAAGCCATGCTGTCATGTTACAAATGCCTTTTTTTGAGAAGGTTGGAGATATCCATACTGAAAATGTCCAAAATGTCCAAAAAAAAAACATTTTTGCCAAAAATCTCCTGGTACCAAATATGGGTTAATGGTATGACCATATTTTTTAAAAGATGAGTCCTTTTGTCAAAAATTTGGGAAATCTATCCAAAGCAAGTTGAAAAACGATGTTTATCTCCCAGAAGTTGGATTTCAGGTTTTTATGTTAGCAATATTTTAAGCATTTTGCCATTTTATGACTATTTCATATTTTCTTTAGGTTATAGGCTGCACTGCTTTGTATCTTGCATCCAAAACTGAGGAATCTCCTTGTAGGCTGCGAGATGTGATAAATGTATCATACAGGTAATTATCATATCATCTGACAGCCCTCCTGATCGAATCCTAAAGAAAGCTGTGCTGCAAACTGATATGTGGAGAGGGTTGGTGTGGGCCCGCCTGGAAAAAGCCATAGAACCCAACAAAATTAAGTCTAGTAAAGTTGGTGGGATGAAATGCTTAAATTTCTTGTTGACTGATGAGTTTATTAGTTTTCTAGTCAATATTTTACTCTCTGCCACTTGCCATGAATGTCATGTCGTGAAGTCCATATGCCACGATCTCAAGCAAAATACTGTATTCTGCCCTATCTGGCATCCCACTTGGTCAATAAAAGTGAAGCCTTGAAGCCGATGGCTCATAGCTGCCAGAGCTTATCCCGGTTTCTGTAGCATGAAGCGGCTGGGAGTATTTCTACTCGCCCTGGACGGGATGCTAGTGCATCACAGATCACTCCCCCGCAATTTGTTAGGTTTCCCCAACAATTTGCTGGTACCCATTTATACTCCTGGGTGGAGAGGGGCACTGTGAGAGTTAAGTGTCTTGCCCAAGAACACAACACCGTCCCCAGCCAGGGCTTGAACCAGACCGCTTGCTCTGGAAACAAGCCCACTAACCACGAGGCCACCACGCCTCCCACAACTTGGTCAATAGGCCCAAACAGTTATTACTCTGAGAGGCCACTGTATTTGTAGGCTTATGCAAGTCTATGAATGATTGCTAACATACCTATATAATGAGCCATGTAAGGTCAAAGGCTGTATGGATGTGAAAAGATTTATACATGTATCCTGGGACTAGAATTATTGCAAACATGTAAACATTAACACAAGGAAGCACAAACAGGAAATGGGATGTATTACGAGGATTTCATGATCTCTTAACTAAACTATTAATTTTTGCAAGCTCATTCTTGTGGCAGGCAAGCTTTTCTTTAAAGCAAGCTATTTGTTATTAATCCATCAAATATTTTCACTCACGCATGATTGGTGTAGATGCGTCACATGATCGAAATTCCCCAGCTAAAACTGGGGAGTATCCAAGGATATTCCCAATTTTCAAAACCGCACGTGTTGCAAAAAATATTGAAGGATAATAAACACAATAGCCTCCATTTGGTGCAAAAATAGGCTCGGATATTTGATCTTGGACATTACCTGATCCTTGAAGCTCACAGTTTTCCTCAAGCTATGCTCTCGGAATCTGTTTGCTTCTTGAAACAGATAATGTCTGCAGACAAATATCCGAGCCTATTTTCGTGCCAAATGAAGGCTATTGTTTATATAACCTGCGAACTTTTGGTGAATCAGAAGCTTGGGATCTTAACAGGATAAAAATTAATGGTGCTGCTACACATTTTTACAGCTGTTATTAATTATCATTTTTTTAACAGGATGTTACATAGAGAAAGAGGACCTTTGGAAGTGGGATCTTTGTACTGGGAACTACATGACAGTGTGGTTAATTGTGAGCTGATAATGTTACGAAGTCTTCAGTTTCATGTAGCTTTCAATAACCCACACAAGGTAATACTGCATTAGATGTGATGACTCTGATTCTATTGGCATTGTTGGTATGTGTAGCCTTTGACAATCAATCAGGTATCCTACTATGGAAGATTAATTCAAAAAGCTGTCCACAATACAATTTTTATTGTGTATTAAAGTTTATTAAAAGCTTTGATTTCTGAATTGTTAAGCAAAAACCTGAATGTTCACTTAGTCTTTTTACCATCGTGTATCAAATCATAGTTACTGAGTAAAGGAATCAGGTATTTGTCTTTGAGTTTAACTATGTACAGTACAGTGCTGTAACTTGTATGACAGGTGATGGTCATGCCATGCCATCAAAGAATCCTGAACCCAGTGCCAAGCCTTATGAGAAGCAAGTGGTGGAAGTGAATTGAATGGAAGTTTCCAAAAGTCGTGCAGTTAGGAAATAGAGGGATACAAAGGCTCTGTTTATTTTATTGCCCCCAATACCATCCTAAGACCAGAGAAAATAACTTAATCGAAATTAATTAATTTTATCATTGGCATCACTTCCGTGACTGCTGCGATTTGACATTATCATTTGGGTTAGGTAGAATAAAGTGGAAACCTCAAAGATAAACGACAGAAGTCCTCGTATGAGTAGTTAGCCTATCATCTGCTGGGCACCTTTACAAAGATTGCAAACATGGTTCAAATAACTAAAAAAGAAAGTACATGGAGAAGGGTGTATTCCAATTAACTAAAAGATTGTCAATCCAAAAACTGTTGGAATATCACAACAAACAACACATTTGTATAAGGTACATCCACAGAAGTATAGGTGCTCAGGTCATGTCAACAATCCCTCCACAGAAACGTCAAAAGCAAAGGGCCAGCAAAACACCTGAAGCTTTTAGCTTCACTTTTCCTGATCACTAGAGCCACAACTGAGAATTTCTATTGGGATGAAGAATTGCCTGCCACAGTTCAAGAAAAGTGCACTTTTTACTTTTCAGTGTAGAGGAACAAAAGCATTTAGAAAATACAGCCAATCAAAATACAGGAAAGCCGTTGTATATTCGTTGTTCTCCTAAAGAACACCTTTCGTGCACCTACATCTATCAAGTCAGTTTCATGTGACACCCAAAGAACTTACCGTCCCGTAATTTTAGTGCCACTGATTCCAACCATTGAAATTAATGCTTTTTCTATTTGCATTGTTTTAGTATCTTCTACACTACCTCAACTCTCTTGAAGACTGGCTTGACAACGAATCATGTAGCACAATTACTGTCAGTCAACTTAGCTGGAGCTTGTTGCAGGATAGTTTCCACACTACATTATTCTTGGAGTACAGTCCAGCTGTGATTGCAGTAGCAATGATATATTTCTCTCTGATATGTCTTGGGATTAAAGTTCCATCTCAGGGGGTTCGACTTTCTTGGTGGAAGGTTGGTGTCTTAGTACTTGAATTTTTTAAATTTACAGTAAAATTACAGTTAATACAAGTTAGCCCCAGCTGCAAGGTTAATAATTTCAATTCATGTCATTATTGAGTTCCGGTCTCGACACAGCAAGTTTAGGTATGAAGTACGAAACATTGGTAGACACTGGCACCTCACAACAAAGTATTGGTATTGGTGTGTTTCCTTATGAATGTATTTTTATTATAGTTCACAGTAAGTTACTAAATACAGATGTAAATATATTTGACTGTATTTTAAAAACTGTATCTACAAAGAACTCACGACAGTCCGAGAGCTCTGAGTACCTTGACCACCCCTCCCCTCTGGCTAGGAGATTGGCCTGTCACACGTCCATTCAACATGCGCCTCTCTAGCAAGGTCCCCTCTCAATACAGAACCCTCAAGCACTGTTCAACAACAGAGCAAAGTGTCCAGTGAGCGACACAGTCAAAATTAACGTTGTTTAGCACTGAAAACATAAGTATAGCTGAGTGAAGGAGAGCAGCGATTAGGTTTGTACTTGGGCTTCGAAAACATAGCAGGGCATTTTATTCAGCAAAGTCACTCAGATATACTACCTACAAAATTGCAACCGCTAATTTTATGGGAAGCTAATTTTAGAAACAGTTTTTAAATTATTTATCCTTATTTATTCATCCTAAACTTCAATATAGTAAATTATCGCATTTTTTTTTAATTGTATACTGTAAATTTTAATATATTGTAAAGTAGTCTAGTGTACCCAATTAATTCTTAATTTCGTATTCTTAACTGTACATTTTAAATCTTAATCTATTGTAACGTAGTAGTGTCCCCAATCAGCTTCTGTAAGCTAAATACCTACCCTGACACTTAAATAAAGTTATTATTATTATTATAAGGTTCTCATAGTTCCGAATTTCTCGGCTATGAATGATTTAATCCAAACATAAAAATAATACATTGTAGCTTTAATACCAGTCATATAGGAATACTTTCCACCAAATATCAGAAGAAAGGGTCTAATATTAGAGCTATACGAATTATTTAATTATTAAATTATTAAATTTTATTTATTTTATATCTTGTTCATTTATTGATTTATTTCTTTATTCGTTTGTTTATTTAATACGGCAACGATCGGAGAGGTAAACTCGGCTGAAATTGACTCATTTTTTACTTAAAATTGTGTAGGGAGAGACACAGGTTTGCACGCCATTACAGCGCCAAGCTACAAACAACCAAACAAACTCTCACAACTTCAAAAAACTCATTTGAATTTACTTACAGTGACTTTCCTTGCCATTTAAAGGTGAATAGAGATAAACTTGCGTTGATTAATCGTCTATAGGAGTGTAAAAAGAGCGAAAGATTGACGATTACTGGTAATTCGTTCAGGAAAATAGATCAACTCAACGGATTCTGCCCGCTGTAACGGTCCGGATGAGAAAATTCCGCCTGCTCCAGGAACCAATCAGATTGCAGGATTTGTTGAATTCCGCACGCTCACGAGCTGAGAAAAAGATAATGTGCAGTATTACTTCAAAGTTGAATTCAACTTTTGGAACGATTGATAATGCCACGGCCGACAAAATGACTACAAAAGTCGTGTCGTGCTTTTGATTTACAACTTTCATCTTTCTTTCTCTGCGCTGTAATATTCTGTCGCGCGGTGAAGAAATTATTTCATTTCTTGTTTTCAACTTGGTTTTTACTTGTGTCTTTTGCTTTTATTTTCCCTTGTTTTCTCAAATGTTGGCCATTATATATAATGCAAGAATGGATATTTTTCGTTTTGTCCTCCAAAGTCAATATTTAAGATATTTCCCCTATTTAATTTTCTCGGCCTCTTTTGGGAATTTTGTCGTGCGAAAAAAGAAGTTATATGATTTCTTCTTTTCTTGTCAGTTTTACACATCAGGTTGAGTTCCTTTTGTTGATATATTTATAAAAAAGAAAGCGGTTGTTAATAGTGTTTGTAGTTCCAGATTAAGACTATTACTTCATCGGAGATTTCACAACGCTACGACTGATGGTGCAATAATACAGTTTGTGTTGATCAAGTGATGTGGTGTCTATAGTAATCAATGAATCATCAAGGGCTGCTTTGGAATGTGCACTGCATTGCGACTGTAGAGCTAAGAAAACAGTTAAATTAATTTTAAAGGCGCGGTTATAAGATCTAAAAGATCTTCTTGTTCATTTTTGGACAATGTGGAGATAAATGTAGATAAAATCTGTTTCTGGAAAGTTAAGAAGGGGGTCACTGAACGTCCAAGATGGTTATTTGTGGCCAAGATCTTTTTTCCAATGTTTCACATTGTGTCGTCAATTATCGGACCGTACACACAGCAAATGTCACTAACAACCAGGAACGTGGTGTGACAATATAATTATACAGGTAGTATCCAATGCTTGGATCATGTGTATGATAGGTAGTGTCCATTGATATATCGACCGATACATCGGTCAACATATCAACAGATCACCGATATATCGGTCAATAGTCGGTCAATAAACAGACAAACTATCAATCGACTGGTGGTCGAAAGTCAGTCGATATGTGGCTTGTCGAGTGTCGGTGAGGTGGCGGTAGTCTCTCGGTCAAGTGTCAGTTGTCTCTCGGACAAGTGTCGGTTATCTATCGGTCAAGTGTCGGTTGTCTATCACTCAAGTGTCGGTATATCGGTCAGGGGACGAGGGTCGGTCGTGTTCAGTTCAGCACAGGACAACACTTTTGAGACTTTAATCTCAATGGTCTCTCCGTCACTACCCTACTCTTGAATATCTTCCACATCAAACGACAACTCTGACATAATCCATAATCTGTAAGTGAACAGATGCACGATGACGACAACATCAAATCTATTTGTCTTTCTTTGTAGACAAAGCTAATTTTATTCATGTGTGAAAGGCAAGCCGGGTTCAGCTTCCTCCAGAACCTATGGCCAAAACACAAACTAGCTCAAAGAAAATACTACCAAAACTCGAACTGTACTAGCATTTTGCAGAATAAGAAAATTTGGTATTTTTTATCTTTTTTGATGTCACCATTTACTGATTGAAAACTTGCGAACATGTGCCAATTTCTTTCACAAATTTTATCCTACTTCAATTCATTTGGATTTTTTAAAGAGGATTTTGTTCCGCGATATCATCCAGCAATCGGTGAAAGCATCCATTTGGGTGAAATTCATAGATAAAAAATCTTCCCTAAAGGGGGCTTTGATGTACATTACTCTTACTTATTTTCGAGAAAACATAGCAAAAATAAATAAATAAATAAATAATCATGAGAAATTCGCGATTTGGTGGAAAAATCGTGTTAAAAAGGTAAAACGTTTCTCTAATTTGTGTGACAACCTTTTTCTTAGGGTCCTTTATTTCGAGAGTTTTCAGTCCCATCGTGAAATTCGCGAAAACTATATATATTTATCTATCATTCCTTACCTAACGGAAGTAATATATTCAGATATCGCTTTGAAGTACAAATGTTATGATAGGATGGTCACGTACGAGATGATTATCAGCATGTGTGTAGGATGTCAGTAGGTTTAACAAGTCATTCAACTGAATGGTTGGAGCGACTGCTTCTAAATGGCTGCATAGAATAGGTTTCTTGTCATTATGATATTTTCGTTAAAACACAGATTTCTTGTTTGGAGAAGTAACTTGTCAGTAATTAGGATACCGCGCTGGACAAACACAAATTTCAGCGAGAGGGATTTCCTTGAATGACTTAACTCTTTAAGACCTCAGTTTAATGTCCAGTCAGTCAATGCGTCAATCTGGAATAACCACTTAGCTTTAAAACGACATCGCTGAACAATGTTAAAGGAGTTTAAGCTGAACCTTTAGAGGTGAAATGCCCTTGAAGTGTCCGCTTGTTGCAGGTTTTGTGCAACAAAATGACTTAATATTGGTGTCCGCATCCGCTTAACAGAGGTGTCCCCTGAATTCAGGTTTATTTTACAATAAATGTGGGAAGAAAATTTAGGGGCTCAAGCTGGTGTCTGCTTAATAGAGGGTGTCCGCTTATTATGGGGTCCACTTAATGCAGGTTTTACTGTATCCTGAAAGCAGAACAGAAATTGAGAAAATTTGAAATTTGCCGTCGCGATTTTTTTCGAGACATAAACAGAAGTATCGTGTTACAATCGCAATGCAGACCTCCCACGGTACGTAAGATTACTCATTATAAATAGGCGATCCAAATGAGCGAGATTCCAAACGTTAAACTGGCGATCCCGAAGTTTTGCGTGGTTCAATTCTACCTTTTATCATCCTCCCGGGCATACCCCCGGGGATTTGACATTTTTTCTCATTCTCTGGTTAAAATAGTTTAAAATTACGAGCTTTCGATTGCCAGTTTTTCTTCTTATTGTAGTTTTTTCTACTTCACACGCTTTATTGTATATATTTCAATGATCGCGTTTCTATTCTTTGTTTGTCAAAGATAGCAGATTGGCAATCGAAAGCTCATAATTGCTGCCGTAGTAAGTGAGCCTGAAGCGAACAAGCGAAGCAGCTCTCTAATCAGTAGAAGATTACTTGATAGGGGCTTGCAATCACTTTTTCTTACTGAACGCAACGAACTGTGGTTATGCGCGAATGAAAGATTTAGGACGCGCAGTGGAAAATGCGTAACTGGACGATTTAACATGCTCAGTGGATTTCCATGTGCTTTCTTGGCACTGTTTTAGGAAGCAAAAAGAAGGTGCGTTCTTTACGGTGTAAATTGCTCTTTTTTTCGCTTCTTGCTGGTTTTTTTACACTTCTTTTATCCTTCAGGTCCTTATTGACTTTACTTATGTAAAATTTGCCTTTTCTTTATTTCAGGACCAAATTACTGCTTGCAGAATGTCTAATATAAGTTCAAGGTATTGAACTTGCATCTCCTGGTTAACTGCATGCTTTACCGAGGTGAGTTCTTTGGTGTCTTCTCGGGCATGTAAATTGCTCTTTTCTTTCGCGTGTTGTTACAAAAATACCGCTTCCTGCAAACAAGGATGTCTAATTCTAATTTATTTTTAACAATTATTCGCTAATGTTCACTGAGCCTGAGGCGAATAATCATTGTTTTAGTATAATTTTCAGAGGTGAATATCAAGGACTACAAAATAACGGACTAAAACATAAAAACACACATGCAATTGTTCTTGTGCATACATGCATGCAACCGTAGTTTTAATAATGAGCTTACATGTACATCGATTGTCAATCAATTTACTCATCGAGTTCGGCAGTAAAACAAACAAGCGAAACACTATGAAAAATAAATTCATGCGGCATCTTTGTTTTATCGTTGTTGACTTCATTTACAGTTTTCAGCATCGCCTAAAAATGAGTAGCAAAATAAATTTCGGTCAATCGATCTGACCTGCTGGCGATCGACGCAACCACTGCATTTACAATTCTTGAAAGCCTTGAATACGAGTTCTTGAAAAGATTTTTGGTCCATGGGCGACAGCAGTCATTTTGAAAATTCTCCATCCTTTCAAATATCCTGTCCTTGGAGTGATGTCTTTCGAATAAATGAAAACTTCATTCAGCAACTGTCCGCCATGTTTATTTGCCGAGAAGGCAAAGATGGCGAGCTTAGTAACCAAGCTCTAGCGAGGTGAATATAGCGTCATATGATGAGCTTTTCGACCAATCAGAATGTCCAATTCTTATATTCACCTCTGGAAATTATACTACTAGTTTATATTCACTGTTGCTATCAACAGGGATAGGAAACATTTATAAACCAAATGCTGTTGAAGATTCCAGTGATTTCAATGAAGAAAACATAACCGAACTCCTATTATCTGTAGAAGCAACAGTGTTCTTCAACAAGAAATTCAACATCACTTCAGTGAAGCAAAAGGACTAATCATGAACATTGTTTAGCACATAAGAAATATGGTTCATTTTATACTGTACCCTACACTGCACAATATTGCTTAATGGACCTTTGCAGTAAGTGCTAAACAGTTAACTGTTTTGCATTGTACCTGCCATGACACTACAATGTCTAATTCATAGCATTAAGAATTTTCTAAGGAAAACGACCAATTTTTTAAGTTTAAAAGACATGTTTCGACAGAACTTCTGTCATCTTCAGTTGAATGAATGATTACAAAGCAAGTTGAATA